GCCATAATTTCTGCTTCACAAGAGGAGAAAGCCACACATTTTTGCTTCTATGATGCCCAGGTGATCAGATTTTCATTCACAAAGAATGCCATGCCACTAGTGCTCTTTCGATCATTGACATCATTTCCTACGTCACTGTCTGTATACCCTTTTTGCATGACTGGTCCCTTTCCTTTTGAGTACTTTAAAACAAAATCCAAGGTGCCTTTTATATACCTTAAAGTACCCTTTACTGCTTGTAAGTGATTCATAGTTGGCTTTTCTATGAATCGACTTACAATTCCCACAACAAAAGTTATATCCAGCCTGGTGTGAGTTAAATACCTCAACCCACCAACTATACTTTGATACTCTATTGGATTCACCAATTCAGATTCATCTTCTTTCTTGAGCTTGAGCTTGTATTCCATGGGAGTCTTTGTAGGGTTACAGTTGTGCATACCTGTTTTGACAAGCAGGTTCTTGGCATAGGACTCCTGCTTTAGTGTAATCCCATCTTCCTTCTGGTTCACTTCAATCCCCAAGTAGTGAGTCAGAAGTCCCAAATAACTCATCTCAAATTTAGTGTTCATCTCCTTCCTAAACTTCTGAACACTTTTAGGGTAACTCCCTGTTACAATTAAGTCATCTACATGTACTCCTACAATTATGACATATTCATCATACCTTTTGGTATAGACAGAGACTCATGAGTGCACCTCGTGAAACCAATGTTCTTTAGATGTCGATCCAGGCAATCATTCCAAGCCCTAGGAGCTTGTTTGAGCCCATAAAGGGCTTTGGATAACCTTAAGACTTTGTTTGGCTCTTCTGTCTTCTCATAACCATGTGGTTGCGATACATAGACTTCTTCTTCCCGATTACCATTCAGAAATGCCGATTTGACATCCAAGTGGTGTACATTCCACCCATTTGTACCTTCTAGGGCTAGAATTAACCTTACTGTTTCGATTCTTGCTACTGGGGCGAAAACTTCTTTGTAATCAATTCCATGCTTCTGGAAATATCCCTTTGCCACAATCCGAGCTTTGTGCTTGATTATTTTCCCACTTGGATCTTTTTTCAGCTTGAAAACCCATTTTAGACCGATGACCTTTCGATTCTTTGGCAGATCGACTAACTCCCATGTTTTATTCTTTTCAATCAATGCTAACTCCGCTTCCATTGCTTGTGCCCATTCTTTTTATTTGATTGCTTTGACATATGAGGATGGTTTTACACCATTACGGATCAATTGAAGTTCTTCCAGGGGTATGTGGATCTTATATGTGGCCTCGTATAGATTGGTGAGAAGCCGATATCACTTTGGAGCTCCTCCGTCGGGGGAGCTGGATGCGGTGTTCGACGTTGGTGTGTGAATTGGTGAATCTTGCGTTGTGTTAGAATTGGGTTATTTGAGGAATTTATCGGTGTACCCGATTGGCTTGAACCCGGGTCACTTAAGTCGTTTGACTGGTTAAAATTGACCCAATCTCCATTTAAATCTGACGCCGTCGACACCATCTTCCCTTGATCAAGAGTATTCGGTACCGAATCACCAATATCATCATCGAATCCATCATCAAAATTAAATCCTTCGACAGTAAAGGTTATCCCTCGTGTCTACTTTATCTTCCCACTATTTTTCCACGTCCATGCCTGATTCTCGTCAAATACAACATCTTGACTAACATACATCTTTCCTGTATTTGGATCCATTAATCTATATGCTTTCATTCCTAACTCAACTCCCAGATGAACAAGAAGAATACTTCTATCCTCCAATTTTTTTAAGTGACTCTTTGCAACCCTCATGTGAGCCACGCATCCAAATACTCTTAGATGTTCGATATGTGGTCTTCTTCCCGTCCACATCTCATATGGTGTCGAATTCTTCAAGGCTTTTGTTTAAACTCTGTTTAGAACATACACAGAGTATATTACGGCTTCTCCCCACAGAGCATGAGGCATTGTCATGGTCTTCAGGTTGCAACGAACCATTTCCAGTACCGTTTGATTACACTTCTCCACTACTCCATTTTGCTGTGGAGAGTATGGAGAGGTGTAATGCCTCTCTAACCCAGTCTCATTACAACACTTTATAAAATCATTTGATAGAAATTAACGACCGCGATTAGTTCTGAGCACTTTTATCCTCTCTCCAGTCTCTATTTCTACCTTCCCTCTAAAAATCTTGAACGTTTGAAGAACTTCATCCTTTGCCTTCATTAAGTAAGCCCACATTACTTTGTTGTAGTCATCCACAATGAGCATAAAATATCTATTTCCAACGGGTGTAGGAGGTCTGATTGGGCCACAAAGATCACCATGGAGTAATTCTAGTTTCTTCTTTGCTCTGTAACTCGTCTGGGATGGGAATGGATTTCGAGTCTGCTTTGCCATCAAGCATCCTTCGCATGGCTGTGTGTGAATTTTCATCTGAGGCACACCTTCAATTAGGCCTTTATCTACCATTTTCTTCATCGAATTAAAGTTGATATGGCCCATTCGCTTGTGCCACAACCATATGGACTCATCAGTTTCAGCAACTAGGCAGATGGGTGTGATCTCTTCTAGTTGTATCTTATAGAGTCTATTGCATGACCTTCGAACCTTCATGAGCAACTTTCGATTCGAGTCATGCACCCATAAAAACGGATCCTTGATTTTTATCTCATCTTCACCTTATGCTAATTGACCCAGGCTAATGATGTTGCTACGTAAATCGGATATGTAGTACACCTCATCTAGTTTTCGACACCCACCATCCTTGCATTTGAAAACTATCGAGCCTTTTCCCTCAATTCTCACTCTTGATTCATTTCCAAATTTCACAAAACCATGAATTGATTCATTCAAATTCATGAATTTGGTTTTGTCTCAAGTCATATGGTTACTAGCACTTGTATCCAGGTACCATATGCAAGATGAATTCTTTGGATTGCCATGGGTTCTCAATTGGGGACTAAGATTTTCTTCATTCAGGAACACTAGGTTGTCATCTTCACATGTTGACAACAACAGGGCAGGCTCATTCTCATGATGTTCTTGGACCAGGTTGTTCTCGTGGGTTCGTTCTTTTCGTGGGTTATTACATTCAGATGTGTAATGCTGATACTCTTGGCAATTATAGCACTGAATGTTACTTTTTTCATGGCTACTCAATGCACCAGAATTGCCTTCCTTGTGGTGATGCGTTCCGCGTCTGCCACCACGACTTCCTCCATTTCTCCCTTTACCTCTGCTACGACCACCACGTGTGCCACCCAATCCACCATGGCTTGATCTTTGCTTTGAGTCACCTTCTGACTTCCTTTTGTTTCGATCGGACCATTCTTTGTGAGTCAATAGGAGCTTCCGATCATCACTCTCACCCGAACTTTTCATGCGTTCTTCATACGCTTTGAGTCTTCCGATCACCTCTTCAACAGATATTGACTCCAAATCTCCAAATTGCTCGAGTGTTGAGGGAATCTGAAGGAATTTGGATGACGCCGCCCTGAGTAACTTCTTCATAACCTGAGATTCTTCTACCTTATTTCCCAAGGTTCGTAACATATTGACTGTGTTAATTACTTTTCCGGTGAAGTCATTAATATTCTTCGTTTCTTTCATGCTCATGGCTTCTAGTTCAGCCTTGAGTGTTTTGATCATGGCAACCTTCACTCTGTCGGCTCCTACAAACATAACTTTTAGAGCTTCCCAAGTTTCTTTGACAGTCTTCTTCTCTGTCAATGTCATGAGTAGGTCCTCCGGTATTCCCTGATAAATGGCAGCCAATGCCATGTTATCCTTCTTTGCTTCAACAAGAGTGTTGGCTGTTCTGGGTTCTAGTGCATCCCAAACACCTTGAGCTAACATAAAGACCCTCATCTTAATTTTCGGTGCACTGTAATTGCATCTAGTCAACATCGGATAGTGTAGAGTAATTTGTCCATCTTTGTCACCATTTTCATTGCTGTCGTTGCCCGTCATTTCTTCTTTCCGGGGTTGATACTTGGGCATGTACCAGGTTGCTTTGATACCAAAATGTTGGCTTTTCAACAAGCCTTTTAACAGGGTTATAACAATGAAACACTAAAACAAAAGAAACAGAGCACGAAAGTGCTTAAAGCTTATAGCTTTTGGAGCCTTTATTCACTGAATTGAAAGGAAAAAGGTGGTGATAACAACGTTCACACTAACTATCTAGAGTAAATTACACGAATGGTCCCTATGGTTTAGGTTAATTTGCGCATTTGGTCCCTAACTTATTTTTTTAACTCGGAAGGTCCCTACTGTTTGTTTTTGTTACACGTTTGGTCCCTGTCTTACCTAAAAAACTATTTTGCCATTGATTTTTTTAAATATTTAATTAAACACACCCCAACCCCAACCCCCATCACCTTACCTTACCTATCATACCTTTTTTTCCTATTTAAATAATAGTTTTTTTTTAGGTAAGATAGGGGCCAGTCGCGTAACAAAAACAAAAAGTAAGGACCAAGCGTATAACAAAAACAAACAGTAGGGACTTTTCGAGTTAAAAAAATAAGTTAGGGACCAAACGCGCAAACTAACCCAAACCATAGGGACCATTCGTGTAATTTACTCAACTATCTATTTAAACAAAGAAAAATGCTAAAATTTCTACAACTACCCTTACTAGCTTAAGACTTGGACTTCAACAGCCAACATAGCTTGAATTATTCAACACATAATAAAAACATGACATAAAACAATTAAATATATTTCCGAATTATTCCATCAAAATATATATATATATATATATATATATATATATATATATATATATATATATATATATATATATATATATATATATATATATATATATATATATATATATAACCTAAAGCATAAGAAATAGCCATTTTCTTTGAAATTGACTACACATTTTAAGAACTATATGTGGTCACTAATGAATCAAAGCACGTTCAAAACACTTGATATATGGTACACAATCATCCATGTAACACGGCCAAACAATTTCTTTCATAACATTCTTTCCCCTGGGATAATTAATAATGACGCTGAAACTTAAAACGAAAACCAAAAACATGGCGACTTTATTTTATGTGGGGTTGAAGAAGCACTCAAGAGAACTAATGATTAACAAAATGTATGGGTGTACCATTATTTATTTTGCTTTTATGGCTCACAAAACATGGAAAATAACACGTACCACATATATACATGACAATCTATAGAAACTTATGTAGATTGCTGGTAGTTTGTAACAGAAATAGGTAACAATGCATGTTCTACAGTGCTGGATTCGTCTCGCACATGTGCTTCCACTAAAATTCAGCATCAACTTTTTGGTTTTCTTTTTTGTGAAAGAATATTTTGTCTCCTCAATTAGTACCCATGTAATTTTTTAATCTTGCAGTAAAATAAAACCAAATATATATAATAGAAGAAGCGTTAAGCACAGTGACATTGAAAGTGACCGAGGCTGCTTTAAAACGATTCAAATAATGTTGAGTTAAATCTGAAGCTTGTTTTTATGTACACAATAAAACTCTAAGTGCGATACACATTGCTAGAATCCTCTGATGCAGATGTGGTAGGGCTATCTTTGCCGATTAACATAATGATCTGTCGACAGAACATAATATTCTCACTACAAGTTATAACGTTTTGGGCTATATAAGGAAGAGTTCTTCTACGAAACAGAAACAGGCTTTCCTTTCGGACTTCAATCCTCTTTCACAAGACAAGGGGAAAGGAAAGACAGATCATGGTAAACAATATCATATGTAGCTAGCTACTAAACCCTAATTCTTGGTTTCTTCAGAGTACAAACTTTCTTTTGATGATTTCGTTGGTTTCATAGCTTAAGTTCTTTGTTTCGTATGTGTTGATCAGGAGGGTAAGGTTGGTTTAACCGTAGCTGACGCTGTAGATTACAAGGGTTTACCTGCTGATAGGGTGAAAACTGGTGGTTGGGTGCCTGCTTCCCTCATCCTTGGTCAGTTCATATTATTAATTCTGTCATGCATTTGGCCACTTTATGTTTTTACACTTATATATTAATTTGAATATTCCAAATATACGACCTCTGTATGTAAGTGGAAGTGAATGGAAGGAGATCGATTCAGATATATATATATATATATGTATGTCAATGCTAGCGATAAACGTTAAGGATGACTTATGAGTGTTTTTGGTTATCTTCCTCGTTGTTCTGACATGCATGGGCCAGTTTTGGCTAGTGGAAACTTTGAATAAATACAAATAAACGTACAACAAATTAAGATATATTCCCGCTAATACAAAGGATGTGGTCATCTGTAATCTTGTCGTAAAACATATTTGTATAGATAGATAGAAATGAACTTAAACGAAGATTCACATCTCAATGTTTGGGCTTACTTTTGCAATCAAAAGTTCAAGATTAGGTTAATCTCTTTTATCTTCCACATTCTTCTGTTTGATTTCTTTGTAGAAAGTGATGGTTCGTAGTGTCTAACTCAAGAGAGCAATAGGCACTAAAGGGTACGATATGAGACGCATAAAGAACTATACTTAAATTGGGTCTTTTGGGAGGGATAATTATGGTCGCCTAATGAGTAAAACTTGTCATCTAAAGACTAACATACGCACCAAGAACTTATGGCTTTTCAAATCAAATCAAATTTACAAATTCAAATGTTTCCCGCAAACAAAAAATCATTTCTCATACACATTAACTGTTCCTTAATTTCTCCAAATATAACAGTAGATCGTGTTATGAAGATAGACAATCTTTCTCATAATCAATCATCACTCATGTTTTCTTGATTCCTAGTCAAAACAAGAATCTTGTAATTTGACTTTTTACTCAAACAACAGGAATCGAAATATGCGAGAGGCTTTCCACGATGGGAATCGCAGTAAACCTGGTGACGTATTTGGGTGGAACCATGCATCTCTCCAGCTCAGCTTCAGCCAATGTCGTCACCGATTTCATGGGCACTTCTTTCCTTTTGTGCCTTCTTGGTGGCTTTTTAGCTGACACTTTTCTTGGAAGATACAAAACTATCATCATTTTTGCATCCATTCAAACTCTTGTAAGTTATTCGTATTCCATCAATACACTTGTACCACGTATGATGATGGGTAATTCGACATCTTGATTCTTGACACTATTTTCTTTAGGGTACGTGTGCGTTGGCATTGTCGACCAAACTACCACAGTTCAGGCCACCACCATGCCACTCTCTTGAAAACTGCAAACAAGCAAGTGGTTTCCAAATGGGGATCTTGTATCTTGCTTTGTATCTTATAGCCGTTGGCACGGGTGGCCTGAAATCAAGTGTTTCGGGATTTGGGACTGACCAGTTCGACGAAAAGAATGAAGAGGAAAAGACACAAATGGCGTATTTCTTTAATAGGTTTTTCTTCTTTATAAGTTTGGGAACGTTAATGGCAGTTACAGTGCTAGTGTACATACAAGATGAAGTTGGTAGAAGTTGGGCTTACGGAATTTGTTCAGTCTCAATGTTCACCGCAATTTTGGTGCTCTTGTCTGGGACTAAAAGATACAGGTACAAAAAAAGTGCAGGAAGTCCTATTGTTCAAATTTTCCAAGTCATTGTTGCTGCTATAAAGAAGAGAAAGATGGATCTTCCTTATGATTCAGGCTTGTTATACGAAAATTCACCTGAGGTTTCAAGAATCCATCACACGAATCAGTTTCGGTATATTCCTTTCACTCACTAGCGTCACTTGTGTAATATTCGATTGAGACATATTTTGTCGCTAATACTACTTTATTTTCTTGCATGTAGTTGCTTAGACAAGGCAGCAATAGTAGCAGAAGGTGACTTTGAGAAAAATTCTTCGAGTTCTTGGAATCCATGGAAGCTATGTACGGTGACAAGGGTGGAGGAAGTGAAGATGATGGTGAGGCTACTGCCAATATGGGCGACAACGATTCTTTTTTGGACTACTTATGCCCAAATGATTACCTTTTCCGTCGAGCAAGCAGCCACAATGAGAAGAACTGTCGGAGGTTTCCAAATCCCTGCCGGATCCCTCACTGTCTTCTTCGTCGCTGCAATCTTGCTCAGCTGCGCGGTGTACGATTCTCTGATTATCCCAGTTTGGAAGAAATGGAAAGGAACACCGGGATTTACTGATTTACAGAGAATTGCATTAGGTCTTGCCCTCTCAGCGCTAGGAATGGCGGCAGCGTCGTTGGGCGAGGTGAAAAGATTATCTGTGGCGAGGCGGCACCCCACTCAGACGACGGAGCCTCTTCCTATCAGCGTGTTCATCCTGATCCCACAGTTCTTCCTCGTGGGGTCCGGTGAGGCGTTTATTTACACCGGCCAGCTTGATTTTTTTATCACTAGATCACCAAAAGGGATGAAAACGATGAGCACTGGTCTGTTTCTAACAACGCTGTCACTGGGTTTTTTCTTGAGTAGTCTCTTGGTGACTGTGGTGAAGAATGTCACCGGAAACAATGGTGAAGGTGGGTGGCTCGCCAACAACATTAATAATGGAAGGCTTGATCTCTTCTATGGATTAGTGGCGGCTTTGAGCGGCGTAAATTTTGCAATTTATCTTGTATGTGCAGCTTGGTACAAGAAAGACAAGGGTAAATCGTCAGATGTTGAAATGGAGAAGTGTTAACTTTTGAAATTGGTATCTTAAGATTTGTGTGCAGAATTTATTTTCTTGTTGGCAATGTAGACAAAGAAAATACGAATAAAAAGTGTGTTTTCCTATTGTGTTATTTAAAAACATATATTATCCTTGCAGTATCACTCCAAGAAATATAGTCATTACCGGCGATACAAATAGCGGCGAGAGCACCTTTAGCGGCGACAAATCGATAAGTTGCCGCTAAAGATGTTATCGCCGGTAATGTCTTCTTATCCGTATCCGCGTTTTCACGCTCTGTTAAACGTCAACCATTCGATCATTTTTCTAATCTAATGTTTGGGAAACTCATGGAAGGCACAAAACCAATACCGACGACAAAATGTCGTCGCTAAAGACTTAAAATTGTCGCCGCTAAAGGTAAAAAAAATGCACCTTCTTTTACCTCTTCGTAGGTCGCCGCTAATGATTTGTATCGTCGGTATTGATTCATTTGTCGTCGCTATTGGGTGTCGCCACTAAAGGTCAACGCAGATTACAGCTAATCACTTCCTCTTTCTGCTTCGATCTGCTTTCATTTTGTTCCATTTTCTCAATCATTTGCTACGGCGATTCTTCCTCATTTAACAGCCTATAGTAGAAGAGATACCGCCGGACACCGGAAACTTCCCTCTTCGGCTACTGGCGTTATTGCTGCTCTCGATTTCTTTCTTTGATTTCCTCGGTGCGTTGGGCGTACTGCTTAGCAGTCCTCTATGCGGGGCGTACCCCTCGTATTTGGGGCGTACCTACATGGTGACGAGTGATCGAAACCCGACCCTCGAACGTGTCAAGAGTGCATGATATGTGTTCATCATATCAAGTACGCTGGGCGTAAGTACTGTATGCTCGGCGTACCCTTCAAACCAACCTCGAAATTGTGTCATAAACTTCAAATTTTTGTATCTTTCGCATAAGTGACATTCTATATATCCACTCGTAGGTTAAATTATGCTCTACAACTTTCGTTTAGATTTGGTCGGCGAATTTTTGACTTTATTTTTATTATTATATATTTAACGGCCGAGACAGGAAAAGTCCGTTAACATTATAACTTCTTCAACCGACGTCCACTTTCGTCTGTCTTTTTACCGTTGTACTACTATTGACGAGACCTTCGATTCTCGTTTTGGTTGCGTCGGTTAAAAATCACTCGATATTTATTTTGAGTTTTTAGTTGTTTACTATTATACCGAAACTTAGAAAAATCATAACTTACTCATATAAAGTCAGATTTTGACGTTCCTTTTATGAAAATTCTCGGTTTAAGGAATACTAGAACTTTCATTTAGATCATAAAGGCTAAAAAGTAGTTTATCGAAAACTCACTTTTTTACATCATACGGCGTGGTACTGGTTTTGGCACAAAACTTCAATAAGTCATAACCTCTTTGTTATAACTCAGATTTCGATGAGGCTTTCGCCTAAATGTTTCTAACAAGATTCTTTACAACTTTCAATAATATAATTTTACTTATATTCAATTTTTAATTTTTTTTTTTAATTTTAATAACTGGCATTTCATTGGAATCTCATAAGACTTCTAATACTTTCTGAATGATTTTAAACATAGTTTTACTTCAATTCTAGTAAAAATTATCTGCTAGAACTCAATGATAATAATCATATAATATTTCATAGTATTTTTTACTTTTAAACTTACATAACACGATAACTGAACGTGTATGTTTCAAATACCTCCTCCTTTTGAGGATTTTGTCCCAGAAATAACATTGATTTAAATAAATTGGGATATTTCGCTCTTATCTCATTCTTATTTTCCCAAGTATAATTCGGGCCTTGATGGTGTTTCCACTTGACAAGCACCGACTCCACTTCTTTAATACAAAATTTAGTCGTTCTTTCGTTTACAATCTCTTTAGGCTCTTCTACATATATTAATTTATTATCCTGTTTCACCTCAGATAACGGGACCGTTTCATCATATATACTTAAAATTTTTTTGCAGATAACTCACATGAAACACATCATAACTACCTGTCAAATCTTCAGGTAATTCCAAGCGGTATGCTTCTTTACCAATTCTCTAGATGATTTTGAAAGGACCAATAAATCTGGCACTCAATTTTCCTTTCTTTCCAAATCGCATAATGCCCTTCTATGGGGATACCTTCAGCATTAAAAAATCACCCACCTGGAATTCTATGGTCAACTTCTCTTTTCTGCAAAGGACTTTTGTCGATCATGGGCCGCTTTCATTCTTTCTCATACGATTTGAATCTTGTCGGTGGTATCTTGAATCATTTAAGGGCCTCCAAGGATTTTCTGTCCAATATCATGCCAACATAATGACGTACGACATTTACGACCATATAATGTTTCATATGGTGGCATTTTGATTGAAGTGTGGTAACTGTTATTACATGAAAAATCGAAAAGAGGTAAGTACTTATCCCAGTTACCACCGAACTCCAAGATACATGCACGAAGCATATCTTCTACTGTTTGGATTGTTCTCTCCGTTTGACCGTCTTTCTAGGGATGAAAGCGGTGTTGAGAGCAACTCGAGATCCCAATTCATGTTGTATACTCGCCCAAAAGTGAGAAGTTGTGACAACCCGAAACTTTTTTTCGTTATCTTTACCCAATCTCCGTTAATAAAATTTGAATTTTATTGAATTTCCGTCAAGCTTCTTGGTTAATAAAATCAACTAGTTTTATATAATTAAAATGATATACGAGTTGGAACCAAAAATCGTGTGAAAAACTCAAATTTTCTCGAAAAACAGCAGGTGTGTAGCCAAGAAGAGTGTACGACCGTAAACCCATGTACGATTGGTGTTAGGTGGACCCCACCACCGACCATACCCCCAGCCTATATATACGGGACACCCACCTTCTTTCTCTCTCTAGACTCCTGACCGTAAACACCAAAAAGCACCCCTTGTTCTTTCGAAAATCATCAAAAATTGTCTGTGGGAGTCGATTTAGAGCGTCTGGAACACATTTTTCAACGAACTCATCACCCTTGTTCTTGAGTGTACAGTCGTACACCCTCCAAATCTGCAAAGGGTCGTAAACCAATCAAGAGGAGTTCATGGTCGTAAACCCCGTTCATGGCCGTAAAGCCCTTTTCACGGTCGTAAACGATTCCAAAGTGGTGAAAAACCGTTTTCCTCGGTTCAATCATGTCCCGGTAACATTCCTTAACTGAAAGCAAGTTGTTATCTACCACTTTACCTAACGAAATGGCTAATTTAGATACATATATGTACTTAATTGTTATTAGGATTCCGTTAAGTGCCAGACACAACAACTCGAGGGTCTTCGTTTCCAGTTCAACGCTTGCACACAACAAACAGTGAGTTCATACCCCTACGCTTTTATGGTTTTTTAAACATTTTTAGGGGGGGGGGGGGGGGAAGGAATACAAGCCAAACACAAATGATTTTGTGAACTAAAACAAAAAGGATATCAATAAGATTAAAACTTATGCAATTGCTACACTCCAACGATTTTCGTAAAATATATAGATATTTTATCCCTTTTGTATTATGCGGAGCATAAGGGACGCTTTCTAAGCATAGTTTCATAGTTTTCAGAACAATTCCGAACTAAGTGCATAACATTTCAGTCAAACTATAATGAGTATAGTTTGGGGAATTCATTACCAGTTTTACGATTCAAACTACATACATGGGCAAACAAAATAAATTATGAAAACTTTAGTTTATGATATTCATTACTACATTCAGATAACAAGAGTATAAAACTAAATAATTATATAAGTATAATTATTCATACTCTACCATGTATACAAACGATTTTAATTACGAAAAAACGATACAAAACTACACATAAACTAGTTAATATAGGATTGTGAGACAACTCTTCAATTGTACCCTTTAGGGTACTGGTAAAATCCTCAATACTTAGTATAACCAGAGTCTCCTGGAGGGAGAGCATGAGATTTGTGAATAGATATATTCGAGACTGACAATCCTACACCTAAACTACTAGCTACAGTTAGGTAGACATGCCTGGGGTGACAAATATCATACCGTACGATGCCTGAAGAAACGTCACTGATGTCACTAGTCATATCAAGCATGATTATATGAACTCACAATGGTATAAACTAACCTTTGTTTATGGGATTTCATTCTTCATTAGTTTTATTTTAATTAATAGAACTCTTATACATTACACTGGAGGATTCCATGGATACATTACTTGGTTTTATTTTAAATAATAAAACTAATATTCATACTAGTGGTAGCTAGAGTTTTCAAAACAGCACATACTATTCATATTGGTGGTAGTCAGGGTTTTCAAAACAGAACATACTATATGTACTGGTGGTAGCCAGGGGTTTTCACACACAACATACTATACATACAAGTATTAGTCAAGGTTTTTAAACAAATACAGTAATGAACATACATGTTAGAAAATATTGGATTTTCTGGGGAACATGCCTACATTTTACAAAATTCAATAACTGGTTCTCACTACAAAAACATTATTATGAAGTCACCAGCTTTATGCTGATACTCTTTCAAAATCGCTTGTATTCTCAGGAAATCAGTAGACAAATACTCCTGCATCATTTTGAGAAGACGGAGCATATATCGACACATCTTTTGTATTCTGCTATACTTTTCATGTACACAAACAGTGAATCAAATAGATGTCAATATTCATATTATATTGTAATGGTTGGGTTTACTTTGATTACTATGATGCAATTGTTGTGATACTACACATGATGTCCTCCACCCTCGAACGTTTCCACCGTTTCGGTTTGGGGGTGTGACATATTGGTATCAGAGCTATTGTTTATAATGAACTTAGTATATCGAACCTTACATGGTATAAAACTATAAATTCTAAAGGGTTGGAAGTGCTCTGAACTAAAAGTATACTTTTAAAATACAAGTATTTTATAAGAAGTATACTAGTATACATATGTACCAGAAATAGTATCGTAAGTAGAACAAAACAAAAGTATTTGGATGTTGGACACTGTGGTTAAACCTAGATAGTTATGTAATCATGTATGGGATCAATATAGCCTGATCGACTATATTGATATGAAACATGACCAACATGTGTTTGGGAGTGACTGTGGTGTTGCAGCAAGCCTAAAACTTACCAACAAGACATCAATAGAACAAAACATACAACATAAAATACTATAGGAG